ACAGCCAGCTGGTCCCTTTCCTACCTCTGTGACTTTTTATTATTATTATTTTTTTATTGATTTTTAGAGAGAGAAGAAGGGAGAGGGAGAGAGAGATAGAAACATAGATGAGCCCTGGCCGGTTTGGCTCAGCGGTTAGAGTATGGGCCTGCGGACCAGACAGAGAGTCCCAGGTTCAGTTCCCACTAAGGGCACATCCCTCAGTTGCAGTTTGTCCCTGGTCCCGGTTGGGGGTGTGTGGGTGGCAACCAGTTGATGTGTCTCTCTCACATCAATGTTTCTCTCTCTCTTTCTCTCTTCCTCCCTCCTGTTCTATCTGAAGATAAATGCAAAAAAATTATAATAATAAATAATGTAGCCCGGCTTGTGTGGCTCAGTGGTTGAGCATCAACCCAGGCACCAAGAGGTCATCGGTTTAATTCCTGGTCAGGGCACATGCCCAGGTTGTGGGCCTGGTCCCCAGTGGGGGACATACAGGAGGGGGCCAATCGATGTTCTCTCTCATCAATGGTTCTACATTTAAAAAAATTTTTTTTCTTTATTGATTTTAGAGAGACAGAAACATTGTTCTACTTCCTCCTTGTCATGAATATCTTTTTTATTTCATCCTCACCCAAGGACATTTTTCCATTTTTGTTCAGATAGAGTGGGAGGGAGAGAGGAAGAGAGAGAGAGAGAGAAACATCGACGTGAAAAAAGACACATCAAGTGGCTGCCTCCCATACAACCTCAACCGGGGCCAGGAACAAACTGTAACCGAGGTACGTGCCCTTAGCGGGAATCAAACCTGGGTCTCTCTGGACCATGGGCCGACGCTTTAACCGATGAGCCAAACTGGCCAGGGCATGAATATCTTTTTTTGTACCAGTATATAAACTATTTACCACTATAAAAAGATAAATTTTCTTGTCTCTGAAAATTAATTCACAATATCTTGGTACATTTCCTATCAAGTACATTTTGAGTTTTACATCCTCAAAAGTTAAAAATACTCACAACAGGGGGCTCCTACTTCACATTTTCCTAAATTCTCTCAAACAAACAGCATCTGGACTCAGCGAGCCCCATCCCTATCACTAAATGGTCCCAGGCTCAGCACTAGAAGCAGCCAGCTTTCGTTCACAGCTTGGTATTGCCTGGGCACCTCCAAGACTAGCACAAGCAGCAGCCTTCGGCAGATCACTTTGTAGCTTATGCCCGGTGGTCCTGGGTAGAACACAGGCAGTGGCTGACCTTGCCCCAGAGCCAGCACACCCAGTGGACAGCTTCAGACCATGTAGAAGCACCACCACCCAACCATCTCCACAAGAGACACACTCAAAGAGTGGATTCAGAGGGTACCAGAGTCCTGCTGAAGTACGTCTTGCTCTGTGTGGTGGGCCCCTACACAGCTAATCATCCAAGGTAGTCAGAGGTCAGTGGTCAATGAGCACAGCCAGTCCTTGGAGCTGATCAGCCTGAGTAAATCCCTCCAGTTGACATGTCAACAGCAATCAAAACTCAATTACAACAGAAGGGTGTACAGTCCACACTAGGGGTGCACCTTGAGGGCTCAGCTGGTGTGACCAGGGAGGTTGTGCAATTGGACCTACAGGACACCTACTACAATAGGCCATCCTAGGAAGCCCAGGAGACATAGTAACTCTACCTAATACATAGAAACAAACACAGGGAGGCAGCCAAAATAAGGAGACAAAGATACATGTCCCAAATGAAATAACAGAACAAAATTCCAGAAAAAGAACCAAATAAAATGGAGATAAACAGTCTAATAGATGCAGAGTTCAAAACACTGGTTATATGGATGCTCAAGGAACTTATTGAGAACTTAAAGGAACTTAGTGAGGACCTCAAGAGCATAAAAAAAGACCAGTCAAGAAATGAAGATGCACTACCCTGGCCGGTTTGGCTCAGTGGTTAAAGCGTCAGCCGAAGGACCACTGAGTCGTGGGTTTGATTCCGGTCAAGGGCACGTACCTCCGTTGTGGTTTGGCCCTGGCCCTGGTCGAGGTCATGCAGGAGGCAACCAGTCAATGTGGCTCTATCACATTGATGTTTCTCTCTGTCTCTCTCTCTCTCTCTCCCCCTCCATCCCTCCCACTCTATCTGATGATAAATAGAAAAATATCCTCGGGTAAGGAATTAAAAAAAAAAGACATGAAGGAGGCACTAACTGAAATAAAAAATAATTTACAGGGATTCAATAGTAGAGTAAGTGAAGCCAAAAAGCAAACCATTGATTTGGAATATAGGGAAGCAAAAAACACCCAATCAGAACAGCAAAAAGAAAAAAAAATCCCCAAAACATGAGGATAGTATAAGGAGCCTCTGGGACAACTTCAAGTGTACCGACATTTACATCATGCCAGATGGGAAGGAGGTTGGAGGGATGAGCAAAAAAGGTGAAGGGATTAAGAAGCACAAATGGTTGTTAGACTGCTGAACCTCAAAGGGAAGAAGGGGGCAGGAAGAGATAAACCAAAGAATTTATATGCATATAAGCATAACCAATGGACACAGACATAGTGTGGGGGAAGGCAGGAGGAGCTGGGAGAGGGGAGGAGGGGGTCAATGGAGAAAAATGGTAGATATCTATAACACATTCAACAATAAAGAGAAGTTTACAAAAATATTCACACAAGGAAAGAAAAAAGAATTATATAACTTGGATCCTTTCTTTGTTCTTTAAAACTCTGCAAAATGACAAAATAGATTCCAAAAGCTGTTCACCAGAGAATATGGCTTTGGATCCATTTGCTCTTATTGCTGGCCTGGATAACAGAAAGTTAAGATAAAGGTTAAAATTATTATTACAACAGTGTCCCCAAATTCAGAAAATCTAGCAGACCTTTTGAAAAGTATAGGTAATATACATAGTTTGAAATGACAGAAAACCAGATATATTAAGAAGTCTTTAATTTTAAGCAAGAAGGTGAATTGAATAAAAGAGAAAATGTCACAGTTAAATAATTAGAGATTTAGCAAAATAGCTCAAAGTAACATACCTTAAAATAAAATAAAAAAGAATTTATCACCTAATAGTCATTAATTCTTAAGATTATTAAGTCAAGAGGTTCATGAATTCAAATTAGATTGAGCATTGTATCAAATTTCAATAGTCAATTTCACAAATCATGATTCTCATTACAATTATTTGCTAAAACTAATTTTTACCCTCACTGTTTTTGGTCTGTTTTAAAATAATCCTTTTTAAAATCTTACATGAATAACCCCAAAATTAGGAGTGTGTGTGTGTAAAGTATGTATACATACATACTTTTGTTTGGGGGGGGGGTACGTGCCCCTAGCGGAAACCAAAACCGGGACTCTCTGGTCTGCAGGCCGACAAGCCAAACCGGCCAGGGCCATACATACTTTTTCATTGATGTTAATAATTTGAAACATATCCAATTTTAAAATAATGTTAATTTGGGGGGAACTATTTTTTTTAAATGTTTTATTAATTTATTTTTGTTACAGATGTTTCTCCTTTCCCCCCCATTGACACCCTCCTCCCGACCCCCAGCCTTGGGGGAACTATTAATACTACAAATTAGGGTGACAACACTTCATTTCTCCCAAGAAGAACCCAAAACATAGTTCTGACCAGAAGATCCACTGATCAACCAAAATCAAAGACTAGTAATTAATATCTTTTTTTTTTCCCCCTCAAGTATGTGGAAAAAAATTACTAGGCCAGAACTTTTGATATCTTGTAATTCTATGCAATTTTATTTTATTTTTTTGCATTTATCTTCAGATAGAGCTGGAAGGAGAGATGGAGAAAGAGAGAGAGAAACATCAATGTGAGAGAGACACATCGACTGGCTGCCACCCACACAATCCCATGGGGCCGGGGACAAACTGCAACCAAGGTACTTGCCCTTAGCAGAAACTGAACCCGGGACTCTCTGGTCCGCGGGCTGTCGCTCTAACCGCTAAGCCAAACTGGCCAGGGCAATTCTACGCATATTTTAAAGTTTAGAATAAAAACTCAGAACTTCAGGTAAGATTATTTTATTTTATTATTATTTTTTTTTCCTATTTATTTTCAGGTAGAGAGAGAGAAAGAGAGAGAAACATCGGCATGAGAGGGACACATCGACTGGTTGCCTCCCATGTGACCCTGACCAGGGTATGGGACGAACTGCAACCTAGGTAAGTGCCTTTGGCTGGAATCGAACCCAGGGCTCATTGATCCAAGGGCCGATGCTCTACCGCTGAGCCAAACTGGCCAGGGCCAGGTAAGATTATTTTAATAAGTTAAGACTCACTTAATAAATTGTAATTAAATTTTGGTGAAGGTGGTGGAAGGTAGAAAGGATGAGCTCTGTCTTCCCCTCAGATAATTACAGTGTCTACATGGGACTAGAACCTGGAATCTGCCTATTTTAAAATATATTTTTGAAACCAAGTGTGAAGAAAAGCTTTTGTAAAGTATAAATACAGAGATAAGGGAACTGTAAAGAATCAAAGTGTTTCTCAGTAACTGGTTGCCATTTTTAAAGCAGTATCTTAGGGTTTCTAACTTTTCTTAAAGATCCTAGAATGGGTGGCAACTGGAAAAAAAAATCAAAATCTGATTAACAACAGAAAAGATTCTATGAGTTCAGTCTAACAACAATTAGCCTCCAAGTTATCTTATTAGAATTCACTCCAGCCTTGGACTATTACTAGCCAGGGGTCTATATTCATGTGTTTATCTTGTTCAAAACAGTTTTAAAACCTCGAGGATAGATATAGCAAACTAATTATTCTACACCAGTTTTTAAAATCCTTGGAAGGGTGGGTAAGTGGCAGATTGAAAACTGGTTTTCACTTAGGAATTACCTTGAGTTCAAGCTCAAATACAGCAAATATGGAGAAACATGCACAGTACCAAAGCTACAGGCTTTGATGAACTTGAAGTGAGTATTTCTACTTCTTTTAAAAACTTGCAGATGCCATGAGAAGTCCAGATCTCAGTCATCATTTGTCAAAAATATTCAATTTGTTCTGAGCACATTCTAAATTTGACTGTCCAGTTTGTAAGCCTTTACCCTAGATGCAAGTGCAAAAACTCCAAGATCTTCTTCCAAGACTCAATCTGAGCAACAGCGTGAGCTTTGAGCTGCCCACCTCCTAAAACAGGCACCCCCAATACAGGGTCCAGGGCTGCCGAGAAAAAAGGGCTATAAGGGGGATCTATTCTGTGGCCAGCATTAGGGTAGCTTAAAAGAGTGAAATTTGTCTTCCCGTGCTTTGTGAGGTGCTTCACAGCTATGTCAGCATAAACAGAGCTCTTCCAATGTCTGTCATCCTCTCCAATGATAAAAAGGATATGGGCACAGGCTTTTTCAAGAGGGATACGGCTTTCCTGATAGGCTGGATCCAAAGGATCCTCCAGAGCTTCTTTAACATCGTATACCCCTGAACTGGTTGCAGAGATTTTGTTCAGGTTAAAAGGTAGTCCTGGCAGTATTAATCTACCACATGTGAGGGCAGCGGCTGTGTTAGAGATGCAGCCATTGATGCTCACAACTGCAGCTATATTTGGGAGAAAGCTAGCCATGGAAAGTGCCAACTCTGCCCCTTTGCCAGAACCAATCACTCCAATGTTCGGACCTTTGACCTAAAGATTGAAGAAAAAGACAAACAAGGAGAGAGAAAAAGAAAAAGAAAGAATGATAGTTAATGGGGTCATAAAAGCCCTCAATATAAAGAAAAGTCTTTTATATATTTATCAGATAGTTTGCTTATTTATTTATCCATTAATTCTTTAATTCATTCAATAGGTATTTGTTATAGATATCTTCCAACCCGTTAGTACCACTTTCTATATTCACTCTCTCCTAGCACTAATGATTTTATTTTAAACACATTTCTCTCTAGCACCTCACTCACCTTTGGATGACTTTGCACAAATTTAGCTGCCTCCTCAAAGTAATCTAAATTTAAGTCTTTCATGATTGGAGGTAGATCTTCATAGCCAAAAAATGGCAAAGCCAGAGCAGCAAAACCTCGACAAGCTAGGAGACTTGCTCGAGATTCATTTAATCCTCCATCACCAAACATATCAATCAAACCAGGAAAAGGACCATCTCCTATAAACCAGGAAAGGAGATTAAGCTTGAATTAAGTGGTAGAACATTTAATAGACTATGATCTCCAGCTAACATTTTCTAAGTCAAATTCTAATTGTATAATATTTATCTTTTTAAAAACATCTGCCTATTTGCTTTGAAGAGAAAAGATCCATTTTGATTAAAATAGGATTATTGTTGTGGCTGAAATAGACACTTGTGCCCAGTTGGTGTGGCTCAGTGGTTGAGTGTCGATCCATGCACCAGGAGGTCCACGGTTTGATTCCCTGTAAGAGTACATGCCCATCTTGTGGGCCAAATCCCCAGTGGGGGGCATGTGGGAGGCAGCCAATCGATATTCTCTCTCTATCAATGTCTCTATCTCTATCTCTGTCCCTCTCCCTTCCTCTCTCTAAAATCAAAAGAAAAATTATTAAACAAATTTAAAAAGCCCTGGCTGGTTTTGCTCAGTGGTTAGAGCATTGGCCCGTGGACCAGAGAATCCCAGTTTTGGTTTCTGCTAAGGGCACATGACTTGGTTGCAGTTTGTCCCTGGCCCTGGTTGGGTCGTGCAGGTGGCGACCACTCAATACGTCCCTTTCACGTCGATATTTCTCTCTCTCTCTCTCCCTCCTACTCTATCTGAACAAAATATCAAAAAATGTCCTTGGGTGAGGATAAAAAGAGGAAAAAAGCAATAGATACTTGTTTGGGCTATTTTGAAGCTATAAATGTAAGAATGTTTTTATATTTTCCCTCCACAAAAAAATTACTGGGAAACGGAAAAATAATTTAAAAAATTAGTGCCAAAGAAATAGAAAGTATTTTGATTTCAAGTGGAAGTCACAGTAAATCTAAGCAAATAGTTCTGCAGACTTTGAGTTATGAAAGTATAATACCTCATTTTTTAAAAAAAGCCCGGTCAGTATGGCTCAGTGGTTTAGTGTCAACCCATGCACCAAGAGGTTGCTGGTTCAATTCCCAGCCAGGGCACATGCCCAGGTTGTGGGCCCAATCCCCAGTGGAGGGCATACAAGAGGTGGCCAATCGATGTTCTCTCTCATAGATGTCTATCTGTCTGTCTCTCTCTCTCTCTCAAAATTAATAAAGAAAAAAAAATTTTTTTAAGGTATCCATTTTAAAGAGCCCTTTGACTTTTCAATGAACTTAAGATATAGTCAGAGTCACCAAACCCATAATTTAACAAGGTATAAACTAATTAAAAGGTTTAATGAAAGTGTAATATAAAGTGAACAATACTTATCAGATATCAAGTTATACTATAAAGCCATTGTAATCAAAACAGCCCAGTACTGGCACAAGAAAAGGCATATAGATCAATGGAACAGAACAGAGAACCCAGATATTGACCCAAAATAATATGCACAATATTTGACAAAGGAGGCAAGAGCTCACAATGGAGAAAAGACAGTCTCTTCAATAAGTGGTATTGGGAAAATTGCACAGTTACATGCAAAAAAAGAAACTAGACCACCAACTTACACCATACACAAGAATAAACTCAAAATGGATAAAAGACTTAAATGTAACCCATGAAACCATAAAAATCCTAGAAGAAAATGTTGGCAGAAAAATCTCAGACATTGTATGTAGCAGAATTTTCACTGATACATTACCTAGGGCAAGAGAAACAAAGGGAAAAAATTAATAAATGGAATTACATCAAACTAAAAAGCTTCTACATGGCAAAAGAAACCAGCATCAAAATGAAAAGGGAGAACGGTCTGGGAGAACATATTTGCCGACGATACATCAGATAAGGAGTTAATATTCAAAATATATAGAGTACTCATACAACTCAACAAAAGAAAGACAAACAATCCAATTAAAAAATGGGTAGAGGACCTGAATAGACACTTCTCCAAACAGTGCATACAAATGGCCAGGAGACATATGAAAAAATGCTTAACATCTCTAATCATCAGAGAGATGAAAATTAAAATGACTGTGAGATATCACCTCACACCTGCCAGAATGGCAGCCATCAACAAATCCTCAAACAAGTGCTGGTGAGGATGTGGAGAAAAGGGGAGGACTCTGGCACACTGCTGGTGGGAGTGCAGACTGGTGCAGCCACTATGGAAAACAATATGGTGTTTCCTCAAAAAATTAAAAACAGTCTCTCCTCCATCCTTTTCCCCTCTCTCCTCCATCCTCTCTCCCTCTCTCCATCCTCTCTCCTCCATCCTCTCCCCCTCCTTCCATCCTCTCCCCCTCTCTTCATCCTCTCTCCTCCATCCTCTCCTCCCTCTCAAAAAAAAATAAAAAAATAAAAATGGAACTGCCATTTGACCCAGTGATCCCACTTCTTGGAATATATCCTAAGACGCCTGGAACACCAACCAGGAAGAATACATGCACCCTATGTTCATAGCAGCACTATTTACAATAGCTAAGATCTGGAAATAGCCCAAGTGCCCATCAGTAAATGAGTGGATAAAAAAGCTGTGGTACATTTACACAATGGAATATTATGCAGCTGTAAGAAAGAAAGATCTCTTACCCTTTGAGACAACATGGGGGGACCTGGAGAGTATTATGCTAAGCGAAATAAGCCAGTCAGAGAAAGACAAGTACCACATGATCTCACTTATTTATGGAACATCATGAACAAAATAAGCTGTCGACCAAAAGAGATCTGGAGTCATGGAAGTAGGGAACAGACTGGCAAACCTCAAAGGGATAGGGGATGGGAGGGGTGGGTAGAGATAAACCAAAGAACTTATATGTATATATACACAACCAAAGGACACAGACATTAAGTTGGAGAAAGCAGGAGGGGGGTGGGAGTGGGAAGGAGGGGGTCAAGGGGGGACAAAGAAGGATATCTGTAATACTTTAAACAATAATAAATACATAAATAAATAAATTGAACAAGATGTATAGTAAAATGTCAAACTAATATCCTCCAAATGTTGATTTGTTATTTTTGTTTCAACATTCCTATTAGAGACTGTGTTATTTATTCACCATTCCAATAGAAGAATTTCTCAGCCAATTGCCTCTTAGTATATTTCAGAAATATGCGTCTGTGTTTTTCCAATTAAAAGTGCCAGACAAATCTATAAGAACAGAATAAGAGGAAAGAACATAAAGATAGAAACCAAATTAAGAGATCTAATATTCCAGGGCCAGAAGCCAGTTCTAAATTTTCAAATCTAGAAATGAGGGCTACCAAAGTGAAAGCCAGGATGTACATAGTAAGGTAGTAATTTCTACAAGGTGGTTTTCTTAACATTCAGATATCTCAGGCTATCTCGATCTGCTCTTTTTAAAATTAGATTAATTTCAATCATTTCTGGATTCAAACTTCGTTCCAGAAAGCCTAAAGCAAACCATGAAAAAGACATAACATACAGAACTGGTTGGTTTGGCTCAGCGATAGAGCGTCTGCTCTTGGACCAAAGCTTGCAGTTTGGATCCCAGTCTAAAGCATGTACCTCAGTTGTGGTTCCGTCCCCAGCCCTGCTTGGAGCTGCTCAGGGTCATGCGGAAGGTGATGTTTGTTTTTTTTTCTCTCTCTCTCTCTTTCCCTCCCACTCTATCTGAACAAAAATGGAAATATGTCCTCGGGTGAGGAAATAAATAAATAAATAAATAAATAAATAAATAAATAAATAAAAACCTTGCCCTGGCCTGTTTGGCTCAGCGGTTAGAGTATCACCTGCAGACCAAAGAATCGCAGGTTCTATTCCGGTCAAGGGCACTACCTTGGTTGCGATTTCTCCCGGGCCCTGGTTGGGGTCATGCAGGAGGCAGCCACTCAATGTGTCCCTTTCACGTCGATGTTTCTCTCTCTCTCTCTCCCTCCCACTCCATCTGAACAAAAAAGTGGAAAAATGTCCTCGAGTGAGGATAAAAATAAATAAATAAATAAAATAAAAATCCTTAATATTTCATTCATTGTTTCACTTACATAGTCTGTGTTTATGGAGAAGATCAGAGTTTGGAGCTGAAAGAGTTTTTTACTGCACCCTCACTTTATCATCACCTAGCTATGTGATTTGGTTTAAATACTTTAGGCCTCCATTTCCTCATTTATAATATAAAGAAGCTGTTCTTCAATTTATGAAATGAGCAATGAAACAGTTTTCTCATCATGGTGAAGGTCTCCAAGGCATTAGAGAATGTCAGACAACAACAAAAAATGTCACCTTTGGCGGTAGCCAGGTAGCTCAGTTGGTTAGAGCATACTGTTAGGCCAAGGTTGGACCCCCAGTCAGGGCACATACAAAAATCAACCAACAAATGCAGAAATAAGTAGAATAAATTGATCAAACTGATCTCTCTCTCTCTAAAATCAATCAATCAATAAAAAGTCATCTTTATCCTAACGTGAAGCCAGTATAAAAGAGCGAAGAAGCCCTGGCCGGTTTGGCTCAGTGGTTGGAGCGTCAGCTGGAAGACCAAAGGGTTTTGGGTTTGATTCCAGTCAAGGGCACACACCTGGGTTGCAGGTTTGATCCCCTGCCCTGATTGGGGTTATGCAAGGGGCAACCCATCGATGTGTCTCTCTCACAACTATGTTTCTCTCTCTTGCTCTCCCTCACCCTCCCACTCTCTCTAAAAAGCAATGGAAAAACATCCTCCAGTGAGGTGAGGATTAACAACAACAAAAAAGAGTGAACAGTACATTAGGACTTCAGTCACTTTGGGGCTTGAGTAGATACCAATGAAAGACAGATTTGTATCCACTATTCTCGTCACTTAAAAACATATTTTTTTTCCTTTATTGATTTCCTTTATTTTTTCCTTTATTGAGAGAGGAAGGGGGAGGCAGAGAGACAGAAACATCCATGAGAAAGAACATCAATTGGCCACCTCCTGCATGCCCCACACTGGGGTTTTAGCCCACAATCTGGGCATGTGACCTGACCAGGAATTGAGC